GACGGGACGTGACGCGATAAAAAGCGATCTTTTCCATGTAGTTTTTGTCCTAACCACCCGCAACAGCGACACGTGACAATAAGCGACATGGGATTCTATTTTAGGAACGGTTTTTATTTTCTGCAACGTCGCGGCAGGAACAACATACAAAATATGACAGTGATAATCTCAGGTAGTCTAATGATTATGTGCTTTATTCAATGTTAAAAGTGTCTAATGTGAGTTTCAATATTATTTTGCATTATCTTTATAGCCATAGTGAAAGCAACAATAGATATTTTACCTCAGATCTTGAAAATAAATTAAAGCAAACTTGTACGTTAAAACTGTGAACTCGCTGCGAACCAACACGTGTATTCCATAACAAAGATATCAGTCACTCACTCACTCACTCACTCAAAACTCTTCAGTACATTCACATTTGAATCATCTATTTTCCGTGTCCACTTTTCTTTTCTACACACTCTCCATGTTTTTGCTGTCAGATTGTATCTACACTGGACGTGACAAAGCATTGCAAATCATTTGAACGTTGTGTCAGTACGTTATAAGTCAGCAGTTTACTGTTGGGGATTTGTCGTGTCGCGCCGCATCCAAGACAGCATCACTGATTATAACAAGTTCTTGTATTTTATTGCGTCGTGCCGCACCGCTCGAGTCCAGTGTAGACACGATGTAAGTTAATGTAGCTTTCTGATGCTGTGTTTGGATTTTCATACCACATTATTTGAAATTAGCGCGGGCCAAACTTTTTTCTCTCACGGGCCGGATGTGGCCCGCGGGCCGCCTATTGAGGAACCCTGGTCTAGAGGGTCAAAACTGCGAATGCAGTTAATCCCCACTGTAAAAATCAAACATTAGAACGTGAGCGGTACAGCAGTGTCGACGAGCAGCCAGTATAACAGTTAAGCTAAGTGCACTTTAAAAGCCAGGATGAGTGTAAGGTGATCAGCACTATTTTCTGCTGAGAGGATGACAGGAAGGGCGGACATTCTTCACTAACCTGTTGCGATCCCATCAAAAAGTGACAGGACGCGAATGGCTTTTCTGTTCTCTGCCAAAACCGGAGGGTAAAGCCTCGGTGGTTCCTGAAAGAGAAGAAAGGAGGAGTAAAAAAAGGAGGGTGGATGAGAGACAGACAAGACGAACAGAGAGAGAGAGGCCTTTAAAACACACTGCTCTGGTAATGAAAGAGCACCTGTCTGTACATATTGTCTGTAACTAACAAAGAGGCCTTTACGTTAAACCAGTCCAGTAACAAGGGGTTATTGTTGAGCGCCTGTACAATAAACGTAGTATCACAGGCCAGTTTCATTAACCATTTTCTTGTGATTAAGTGTGGATGCTTATCTGTGGTCTTTGTTAAACGTCTTAGTATTCAATAACGCTAACAATAGCAAACACTCGCTAACCTGTACTGTAATCCATTTAAAGAGTGGAGTGTGTAAGCTAAAACTCTATGATGTTAAGAAGTGTACTCAATGCACAAAGCACAGTGACTGTAACACTCTCTGGCTGCTCTTCAGCACACTGGCCGTTAGCCAAGCTGCTCTTTCACATGGTCTGGAAAGCAAATGGTTTAGGAGTCATATAATTACATAATAAAACTCTCAAATCATTCACATTTGTACTGTAAACCACACCAGTTTTGATTAAAATGCTCACAGCTGTTCAAACAATGCAGTATTTATGGCTGTGAAATGGAAATAAGAAAACAAAATACATATTTATTAGGGTTGGTAATCTTTAGACATATTGTGGCGCTTCAAAATGATTTCACAATGTGATTCCAAAATGATCTCTATTAACCCTATGGTTACTGTTAAAAGTTTCCACAACTTTTCCATTACTTTCCATTTCAGTCAGTCCTGATTACTGGATAGAACTTTTTATAGAGATTGCACTCAAAGAGTAATTTATTGCCACTGTCATTTCTAGAGCTGCATATGAACATAAAAATTTATATTTACTTCATATTTCCATGACTTTTCCAGGCCTGGGAATTACAAATTGAACATTTCCTGATATTGCCAGACTTTCCATGAGAATTCTGACTGTTGTTCACTCAGACAAGCTTCAGAATGTCCCACAGGAAGGAAGTGAAGATTTGAACAGTGTATTTTAGACTAAAGTGCTTATGAAGCTGTAAAAATTAATTGTACAGTACAGTTCAAAAAATTTGGGGTCTGTACAATTTTTGTATTTTTTTTAAGAAACTAATACTTCTATTCAGCAATAAAGCATTAAATGAATCAAAAGTGACAGTAAAGACATCTATAATGTTACAAAAGATTTCTAGTAACAACTGTTTTCAACATTGATAATAATAAATGTTTCTTGAACACCAAATCAACATTTTAGAATGATTTCTGATGGATCATGTGACACTGATGTCTGGAGTAATGATGCTGAAAATCCAGCTTTGCCTTTAGAGGAATAAATTACACTTGAAAATATATTAAAACAGAAAATAATCTGTAATCATATTTCACAATATTACAGTTTTTCCATGTATTTTTGATTAAGTAAATGCAGCTTTGGTGAGCGTAAGAGACTTCTTTTAAAAACATACAATACATTTTATTAACCCAAAACTTTTGAATGGTAATGTATATTATTCATACACAGGCTGGAATCAAGTGTGACATTGGAAAAGGACTTTGTTTTGTCTTTAAAGAATCATTCAGTTGCACATTATGTGATTAAAAATGATGTAGATTCAAGGCTAATGCTTAACACAGTGAACCGGAGAGCTTGTCTGATAATATAATGGAGAGTAACAGTTGCTAAGGTAGGATTGGTCAGTGGTGATTAAGGTGGGGCTTTTTAAGGTGCCACTTACAAAGTCCTGATCGTGATTGTTGGCAAAGAAGTGCTGCAGTCTGCAAGGCCAATCCGCTCTGCGCTCCAGCAGGCCGTATTGAGCCTTCGGCCCACACATATAGCAGTTCCACGGATCTTCTTTAATAGCTGCCTGCGCCGCGCCGGGCCCCACCAACAGATCCACACACTCCACACAGAAACACCTGCAGGAGAACAAAGATATAATGGAGGAATCAATGCAGGATTGAGGTAGAAAATGGAAATAATACATCATAGCTCACTGCCGACAGTCTGTCTCACCTGCAACAGTTATTGTTTCCACACATGAGCACTTCTCTCCCTCCACAGCAGATAGTACAATAGGACTGGTAGCCATCGTCATCGTATTGATACGCACATTCTAGGAAGCAGTTCTATAAAAGGACAAACACTTCAAATATTAATTCATTCGTATCAAGGAATACTGGGCATATGTGGTTGACAAATGAAAAACACTTGCCATTACAAAAGAGTTCAAGATTAGAGGAGCAAGTTTGGTGGTAGTTTAGCATTTATATTTGATTGTGTTTCATTTTTTAAAACATAAATATATACAATATATTAGCAAGCAGGGTAAAGTCAATCCATTAAAATATTTTAATCTCATTTAATTTCTAGTGCTGTCAAACAATTAATCGCGATTAATCGCATCCAAAATAAAAGTTTTTGTTTACATAATATATGCATGTGTACTGTGTATATTTATTATGTACATATAAATACACACACATGCATTTATATATTTAAGAAAAATATGTAACGTTTATATATTGAATATATTTATATAAGATATAAATTATATGAATATAAATATATACATGTAAATACATGTAAATATTTTCCAAAATATATGCTTTATGTGTGTGTATTTATATATACATAATAAGTATACACAATACACACACATTGTGTAAACAAAAACGTTTATTTTGGATGTGATAAATCGTTTGACAGCACTATTAATTTCATAATTAAATGCTATGGATGGAGCAATAAGAATTCTGTCCAGTATTAAAATGATAAACGTTAAATGGTTGATATTAAAAAGTGTTCACTAAATAAATAAAACAAATCAATTGTTATTGTTTCAGTGGAAAATCGGCTTTAGTAATCACATTATAATGCACAGTATGAGAAATAAAAATAAATCAAAATGAATGTCCACAATTAAGCGTACACTATATGATCAATTATTTTAAAAATAAATAAAAATATAACTTGATATTTGATATGCTTCCAATATACTTAGCATCCATACTTTATGCAATTAGTTCCAGTAAAACTATTTATTTCAATATAATTACATGAATTAACTTTGAGAGCAAGATATGTAGAATATATATTTAAAGATGGCATTACAATTATCATACTCTAACTTTAGCATATTCCACTGCAGGAACTTTCCCCAGGAACTAGGGACTTTGCGGCGGTACTCGGTCTGTTTCCACCGCAGGAACCAGGATCTAAATAAAATTCCGTGTAAAAATGTGCCCCTCAGAAAGTCCCTGCTCTGCCCTGCCCTGGTAGTCATTTTTCAAAGGTCCGGAACTTTCGGTGGCGGGACTTGGGCGCTGAACATGCTGATTGGTTGAGTTCATGCAGCATTGTATTTCAACCACCATATATTCGCATATATTTTTTTAAATATTACTGTTATTGTGTCATGAAATGTAGATTTAACAGTATTTCAGGTGAGAATGTAGTTGTTTTAAACTCAAATCTGTGGTTTTCGGCTTTAGTAATCACATTATAATGCACAGTATGAGAAATAAAAATAAATCAAAATGAATGTCCACAATTAAGCGTACACTATATGATCAATTATTTTAAAAATAAATAAAAATATAACTTGATATTTGATATGCTTCCAATATACTTAGCATCCATACTTTATGCAATTAGTTCCAGTAAAACTATTTATTTCAATATAATTACATGAATTAACTTTGAGAGCAAGATATGTAGAATATATATTTAAAGATGGCATTACAATTATCATACTCTAACTTTAGCATAACTTACAGCCAACATCTTTTTGATTGACTCCATTTGTCTCGGTACTTTTTTTAATGAATGTTTTGCAATGCAAATGATCATGTACAGCATACAGTATGTAACAATTGTTTTCAAGTCACAGACAAAAAAATCTGCCAATAATGCGAATGGACATGATAAAATTACAATCAGGCATATAAAGCAGCCCTCAAGGAAGTAGGAAGCAGGAATTTCCTGGCTTTTACCTTACAGCTTTGGCACATTCCTCCAATGAAGAGTGGGTGCTCCAGGGAAACATTAAGGCTGCCACAGGAGATGCAGATGTCTGGAAGTGTTCAAAGTGAGAGAGAGATTTTAGCAGAGGCTCTAACACTGACAGACAGCCTGTTATGAAACACATCTCAATCTGTATGTGTAACACATACCTTCAATGTTTCTACATTTCTGACGAACTTCGTATACAAGCCTCTCTGAAAAACAACATTTATAAATGTTACATTTAAAAACTGGAAAACCTCCCAGTGTTTCACACATTTGGCCTAATTCAACTTGACATCTTGTTGAATGGAAATTTCAGTGGTTTGCATTTACATCACCTCGACAATTAAATTATTTAATAGTCAAAACACTGCCATAGAATAGCATGCCATAATTTTTATTAACTGATATAATGCTGCTAATTGTAGTGGTACTACATATTAAATATATTACATGTCAGAAATAATTGATGATGGACAGCTGAATAATTGAAAATCTTCAGTGATGAACTGGATTAAAAATTAATGCAAGGTTTGGAGTCAATTATTCCAGTTGCCACACTGACAATTGTACATACTAGTTCATCATACTAGTTGACATTAGTTCAAAAGTGTCACCAAAACAGCAGTTATTAGATTTGCTTCTTTGTCATTTTTTTTGGATGTTTTGCAGTGGTATAGTGAAACATTAAATTCAAATAAATGTATCTAAATGTTCAATTTCAATTTGCATAATGCCTTTTGCAATACACATTGTACCAAAGCAGCAACAGTGCTATAGTTAAAAAAAGAATACACTACCGTTTACAGATTTCATTTTTTTTTAAAGAAATTAATACTTTTAAAAGTGACAGTAAAGACATTTATAATATTACAAAAAAAATTATATTTAAAAAAATTTTCTTCTTTTGAACTTTCTATTTATCAAAGAATCCTGGAAAAAAAAAAACGTATCACGGTTTCCACAAAAACATTAAGCAGCACAACTGATGTTTCTTCAATTCAGCTTTACAATCACAGAAATAAATTACATTTTAAAATATATTTAAATGGAAAACGGCTCATTTAAATTGTAACAGTATTTCACAATATTACTCTTTTTGAACAGTACAAACTATTGAACGGTAGTGCATGTTATATTATGTATACTATAATTTAAATATTTTTAATGAGATTTTTATTGCACCACTTTTTAATTGTTTTCATTAAATATTAAGCAGGTGTTATAACTAAGGTGAAATATAAAGCCATTTGTAACTACCAAAACTGTTGCAAGTGAAGTGAAACTCTTGGCTCTACATGTAACCCACAAAGGAGATGGTGCAAGACTGCTCCAGTTTTCCTCTGTTTGAGTGTTTAATAAAGCTCCCTGCTGATTTAACAGCTCGTCTCTTTATTACTACGGTTAGGTTTTCCTGCCCTAAAACATGGGAAGTAATTTTGAAATCTTTAGCATGTATTATAACAACAACAACTGAACAACACGTAGGTGAAAGTGCCATTTTAAAGCTATGTTTGAACACATTTCACGTCACATTTCATTGCCACAATTCAATACAAAACACGTCTCTTTAAACTTGTAGGATTAGACGAGACCCCTGTCATAGTTCCAGACACACCCTCTTGTGTTTACTCTGCTGGCTGAGTAGATGAGAGCGCTAATCCTGATTTAGCATGTGCGGGTGTGTGTTTACACAGGTGTGTGTGACCTGGTTCAGTGAGAGTATCCGCTCACCTCGAGTCCGCTCGTCGATGATGTCTTTGACCTTGGGTTTCTCTGTGGCTGTGCTCTTGCGGGGCTTTTTTGCTGGTGTGGGTGTGTAGGCCGCCGCCTCTGGCTCCACCCACATCTCTGGATATACTTCCTTGTAGGGGTTACGTTCCTCTGAAAAAGGCACAATGGTACGTATAGCTATTGGTTAATGGATAATGCGGTGTGTCTCTGTAAACGTCCGGCAGTCAGGATCGTTTTGATTTAACCAGTAACAGAGCTTAATTCCTGGCAGGCTGGCATGTGTACAAGCTTAATGGATCAACATCTAGTAAGCATCTACAAGAGATCTTAAAAGACAAAATTCTCCAAAATCTCTGAACCGAGGAACTGTCCATCAGAAATCTCACCGGTTTGCACATTTCTGGTTAACAACAACAAAAAACTGAATTTAAACCTTTACCTTAAAGTCAGCATGAACTCACTAGCATGGAAAAACTTGGAAATAACGGAAAGAAATTACCCAAAAATCAAAAGTGATTAACAAAACGTGAAATTTTGAAGAATCTGCATGCATATCTTTTCCATACAATGACAGTTCATTAAAAGAAAAGGATAATTAACATGGTCCTTATGACTTGTTCGCTATATTCCAAATCGTCTTGAGCCACATGGGCTTTGTGGGAAAACCAGACAGAAATGTAATTCATTAATCACTGAAACCTTGCCCTCCAATGAGCTGTCGACACAAGAATTGGTGCAACCCATACAATTGAGTCATGGAGTTGTGAACAAATGTGACCCTGGACCACAAAACCAATCTTAAAGGCACAATATGTAAGATTTTTTTATTAAAATATCCAAAAACCACTAGAACAGTGTTATATATTTTGCTGACTTGTGTACTTACATTATCCCAAATGTTTCGAAGAATGTTTAAATCCAGAGAAATAAGCAATTTTAACTAGTGTCACGGAGCGTGTCCATAGTGTCACCTGCCAATGACGTCATAACCCCTCGATTTCTGGTTTTGTTTTGTAGAAAACATGGAAACACCAAAGACGCTTTAATATGTTGTTCGTTTTAATAGACCGGTGACGACCGCACAGAGTAGCATTATAACAGACCTTTCAAATGTATCTAGTATGATAAAACAGCGCTGCTTTTTTTCCCCACATACGCATGACCGGAAGGAGTGGAAGCGGTCGACTGTGGCATAATAAAAGCTCCGCTGCTTTCGAGCCGTGTGTAGGCGATTTTCTCAATATTTAGATTTTTTTGCACCCTCAGATTCCAGATTTTCAAATAGTTGTATCTCGGCCAAATATTGTCCCATCCTAACAAAATACATCATTATGTATCATCATTACATTCAACTCGCCTGAATCAGTGATTCGGTCACAGTGGTTTTTAAGTTAACAGCTCACTAGAGGGGAAGTTATAATGGATTCAATTTTATTCTGATTCTCACGCAAAGCTATATTAATGAATTCAGAAGATGCGTCACATGAATCATATGGACCACTTTTATGGTGCTTTTTGTGTTTGTTTGTTTGTTGTTTTTTGGAGCTTAAAGGGACAGTTCACCCAAAAATGAAAATTCTGTTATTAATTACTCACCCTCTTGTTGCTCCAAACCCGTAAGACCTTTGCTCATCTCGGGAACACAAATTAAGATATTTTTATGAAATCCAAGAGCTTTCTAACCCTCCATAGTTAGCAACTGTACTACTACGTTCAAGGCCCAGAAAGGTATTAAGGACATCGTTAAAAATAGTCCATGTGACATCAGTGGTTCATCTTTAATTAGAATACATTTTGTGTGCAAAATAAAATAAAATAACTTTATTCAACATTTCTTCTCTTCCATGTCAGTCTTCGACACGCATTCACAAGAGTACCATGCATGCGTGTGGTGCTGCTGATGCAGGAGTCGGCATTCTGACGTAGCTTCATAACATTAAGCTTGAAACGTTGATGTCACATGGACTATTTTAACGATGTCCTTACTACCTTGGAACAACATGAGGGTAATTAATGAAAGAGTAATTAATCACAGAATTTTCATTTCTGGGTGAACTAACCCTTTAACAAATTAAGTCATTATAGACTGTCGTTCTAACAGAGTTGCATGAAAACCCCATAAGTTTGTGTTCCACTGAAAAAGAAGCAAAAGTCTCTGCGTTCTACTAAAAAAATAGCAGCACATGAAATTGAGTAAATGACAGAATATTAATTTCTGGGTGAACTATCCCTTTCAACAAGCTTGACATTTTCCTTAGCCAAACAAGAAGATATCAATATGAAACAACAGCAGTCTTACCTTCAGGCGGCTCTAGACCTTTAGGTCCTGTGGGTTGAAATCCCGTCATGGCCCATTCAATCATCTGTTTGTTTTGCATGTCTACTGACTTAGAAGTGTCAGTGTCGTCACTCTCCGGGCATATGAGGAAGGTTTTGCCTGCTCTAGTGCTGGCTACCTGCAAAGCACACCATTCAAACATTTTCTTTAGAGAGATTTTTGCTTGGAATATAACAATAAACTAGAGAAGATCTGATTTGTTCAATCCTCGATTTGTACCACAAACAAATTCCTACCTGTAGCACTTCAAAGATGGCTTTCTTGTACATTGGTTGTTTATTGTAGGTTGGCTGGTGAAAGGCGTTGTGGAAGGAACTTAAAGGCAACAGTTTCTCAACACAGACCTACCGGGAAAAAAATGAAACAAAACATTTAGAGGGATGTTCCGGGTTACAATACAACCTCTATCGACAACAATGGTAGCATGCTGTTGAGTACCAGAGAAAATTATGACTTGTCCCTTACTGTCAACAAATTCTGTTATGAAAGTTTAAGGGATAGTTCACCCAAAAATGAAAATTTTGTCATTATTTACTCACCCTTATGTTGTTTCAAACCTGTATGAATTTCTTTCTTCTGCTGAATACAAAAGAAGATATTTTCTATCAAATAGCTGCTTGTAGCCATTGACTTCCAAAGTATTTTTTTCCTACTATGGAATGTAATAGCTACCAGCAACTGTTTGGCTACCAACATTCTTTAAAATATCTTCCTTTGTGTTGAACAGCGGAAGGAAACTCATACAGGCTTGGAACAACTTGAAGGTAAGTAAATGATGGCATAATTTTCATGTTTGGTTGAACTATCCCTTTAAATTGCATTGTTTCCTGAAAATTAAAGTCATTAATTTAAGATTTAACTTGTTTTACACCATGTGCTGTAAGAGTGAATACAAACTCACCACAGAAAACTTGCCGTCACCGAACCACATGACCCATCTAGTGCCCTCAGCCGCCCGGCTGCGTCCAGTCATTAACCAGGATACAATCCGGCCGGGCCACCAGGAGAATCCTCGTAACTTTCCCCACACAAGCTCACCGATGCTGAAACCTCTACCATCCTGCAATATACAAACACAGGATTATCTTTATTATAATTATAATGATCTTTAATTATTTTTACTGTCTTGACTTTCAGCCTGTATGGTAACTCTGTGGCGATTGCTATAAATGGAAGGTTTTCCTACACAAATTTCACAGTGGTTTCGAGTTGGTCACATAGATTCGCCGAGATGACCAACAGCAAGCTACTTGGTTTGAAAGTGTCTTCTATGTGAGCTGTGCTTCATCCCTATACTACTGACAATAGACAGTGGACCTATTTTGCCCACATAATTTTACAGAAGCTTCACTAATGACCGCACCTTAAAGGTATAGTTCACCCAAAAATGTAAATTCTATCATTAATTACTCACCCTCATGTCGTTCCAAACCTGTAAGACCTTCATTCATCTTCTGAACACAAATTAAGATATTTTTGATGAAATCCGAGAGCTTTCTGACCCTGGAGAATACTTTTTGTGTGCAAAGAAAACAAAAATAACAGCTTTATTCAACAATTTCTTCTTATCCCTGTCAGTTTTTGACACGTGTTCACGAGAGTACCACGACGCATACATGTGGTGTTGCTGACACAGGAGCCAGCGTTGTAGAATCCTGTAGAATGTAGAATCCTGATGCACTGCACCTTGTTTGCAAGCAGAGGAATGCACACGCATGTGTCGTGGTACTCTCATGAACGCACATCGAAGTCTGACACGGAGGAGAAGAAATTGTTGAATAAAGTTGTTATTTTTGTTTTCTTTGCAAACAAAAAGTATTCTCGTAGCTTCATAACATTACGGTTGAACCACTGATGTCACATGGACTATTTTAACGATGTCCTTACCACCTTTTTGGGCCTTGAACGTGTCAGTTCCCTTGCTGTCTATGCAGGGTCAGAAAGCTCTCGGATGTCATCAAAAATATCTTAATTTGTGTTCCGAAGATGAACGAAGGTCTTACGGGTTTGGAACAAGGGTGAGTAATTAATGACAGAATTTTCATTTTTGGGTGAACTATCCCTTTAAGGCAAAGAGCTGTACTACATTAGTTTTAGTATAGTTTCAAATTACTCCCAGATTTCATATGAAACAAACCCTCCAGCAGAAGACAGGCCTCACTGTTTAAACCTGGATTTCGAATCTGGTTAGCTGGATAACTTACAAGATAACATTGCATAATCCTGGGATTTCTCTGAGAATAATTATCCTATCAGCAAGCAGGTGTCAAATGTTGGAAATTTTACTTTGATAACAAAAGTAAATTTGAAAAAGGGAAAATCCCACATTTATCCCAAAACTTATCCGGCTAACCAAATAAGCCACAACTGCAGAACCAACCACCCAAACTACAGAATGTAAGTACACAATATTTCTAAATTATCAAACCCAAGTCACCAAGATCTCAAGGAAGTTACTCGTACCTCGTACTCCGACTCTGTGTCAGTGGACTTGGGTGAGGTCTTGTCTCCGTCCCCTATAGACACGGGCTCTGGGGTGGTGGCAACAGTTGGAGAGGCTGGGTCCGTAGGCTGCTGTTGCTGTTGGAATGGTGGAGGTTGTTGCTGGGGAGAAGGCTGGGATTTGAGGTTGGTCTGAGGTTGAGCTTGAGGCTGTGGCGGTTGCTGCTGCGTTGGTGGCGTCGGTGGAGGAAAGGGTAGTGGGACGGTGATTATGGAGCTGTCTTTTTGAGGCTCCGACTCTACCTCGCCATGGTCTTCCATTGAGTTCATCACAGACACCAGTTTTGCCTTCTTCTCTGCCTGCAACGTAGGGAACAGCGGGACAGGAAGAGGAGGAGGTAAAGCACATGGAACAGCAGTGGCTTTCCTGAGAATAGCACAGTTCAGCACTTGAGTAATGGTGACTACTCGGTTTGATTATAGCACTTTAATCCCACGTGCCAACACAAATATCCCCATCCTTTTGATAAAGCACAAGTGCCGCCCCTTTGAGTGTGATAAGTGGCAGAAACCTGTGAAAACAGTCCCCTTTTCATTGCGGTGAAAGCTGTGTGCGATCACTTCGTAACAATGAGAGCTCCCCCCGTGGCTGAGATGGATGCGTGCTGGAGAGTTCAGCGAGTTTGTCCAACCTGACTCTAAGCTTTTAGGTCAAAAACAGAGGACACGAGCCAAGCCATGACTTAAGCAGCTCACAGCAAATCCCTAACAGCTGCACCTCTCTCGTCCTCTCGTTCTCGCTCACTCGCACGTGAACCTCTTTCACAGCTGTACTTTCTCTGCTGCTGGGGTCCATCTCCGTCTCCAATTTCACTCACACACACGTGAACCTGGCAGAGTCGCCAGTGTGTGTGTGTGTGTGTGTGTGTGTCTGTGTACGAAGAAAACGGTTGGATCCATCCCCAGAAAGCTCTCCTTATGTCTCTCTTTAGCTCACTCCCTCCATTATAGTGGCTATACATTCATATAAGCCAGCAAAGGGGGGAGAGAAGCTCTGGAGCCAAGAGCTCATGAGTGTGCATGAATAGACAGGATGAGTGTGGAGTAGAAACATGTGGCCTCAAATCAAGAGGCCCCACTGTAGTTTATAAATATCTGTATAGCTTCACTGGCTGCTTCGATGAGCTGGGCCATATGTGCCAGGCTGTTTGTCTTTGACAGCGGTTGACTGTGGAAAGAGTATTTAAGTGTATGCAAGTGGTTTTGTGCATATGTGCATCTATTTATCTCTGCAGTACTAGGCGGTGTGATGGTATATACCAGTAGTTCTCAACTGAGCCTAAATAAACTTCCAAGGGAGCTGCATAATGTCTAATTTTTAAATATGTATAGTGTCTTTTGTAATCCATGTCATTTCAAAACCAACAAGCAAAGCATGTTTTGTAACTTAGCAATATTTCTCAGGTTGAAGAATACTGTTCTAAAAACTCTGGAAATGTGGTTTTCAAAGGACAAATTGCAATCAAGTGTAACACTCAGGTCCTTAAGTGTATAAGATGATACAACAATTCATTTATCTAGGCACAAATTGCATTTGAGCAGCAATATTTCAATGAATATAAGCTGTTTGTCAGAATTTAACAGAAGGAAATTGCTGTCAACTGTACCACCTCTTCAGTGTGCTTACTTCAACTTGGAAAACTGGGGTATGTGGTATAGAGGAAATATAAAGCTGCATCATTAACATACCAACAAAAGCTAATTCCAAGTTTCCTGATGTTTCCACTAGAATGTTTTATTTGTCTTATTAATAAAAATACCTGATTCAACTCATCAGCTCATTAGTGTGTTAAATAGGGAGACATCTAAACATTCTGGGACCAGGAAAACTACAGAGGACATAATACAGAGCCTTGGGGGACTCCATATTGTACTTAACTAGATATTCATTAGATTAAAGTAGTAGCAACCAAAGTGGCAACAGCTTTTAAAAAGTAAAACTTTGTCTGATCAAAGTTGTTGTTTTTTTTTACAAAGTTACAAAAAATATCTGTAACAAATTCAGCATCCAATTTTTTTTCCTTTGTAAAATATTAATTTTTTGTTTAATTTAAAGAAACGATGCTCTAAAGTTTAAAATCATTAAGTACTATTAATTATTTGCATGTATTTTTGTCTTCATTTCAGCGGATTTACAAGAGGAATTATCACAGCCTGCGCAGAGACTCCTTTGAATATTGAATTTGACAATGGGGGAGTCACAAATGTTGAGACCCACTGTTACATACAATGAAATGGTAGTAACACTGAGACGTTGCTACACCGTTTATACCATATCAGATATATTTATGTGGAAAATAGTTTTACACTGTTTTCATTCACTTGTTATGATTTTTTTGTAATTAATGCAATACTTTTCACAACAAAAGTATTTAAAGTCTTTGTAAAGCGATATTAAAATATGTGTTCTGAGTTTGTCACACAACAGAAAAATGTGTTATTAACCACCCAGCTAAATTTGAATGATAAAAAAAACCGCCAAGTAAATAAAATAGGTTATAAAAATCTTGGAAAAATAAGCAGGACTCTCTGCTCTCAAATGCTGGGGGCGTGTCTGCTGTCGGCACTGAAACCACACCCACTCGCGGGAAAGCGGCCATCTCTCTCAACTGTCAAATACCGCTACAACCTGAATGGATGCTACTGATGCTACCTCTAGTAGCTTAATTGGATTTATACATCCATACATGTTTGAGCCTCCAGAGCCAGAATCCAATTCAGCTACCCGAGAATCAACCTCATCCCACTCGGTCTGCAACAGAATGGTATTTTTTTTTTCTTCTGACGCTAATACGCAGTAGTTATTATAGTGTTAGGGGCGGTGATAGTGTTTCCATTGCGTCATCGAGCCACCGTTTTAGCCCCGCCCAAAAAATCCTGAACACAGAATTGGTGAAAAACTGTTTAACGGTTTAACTCCACGATTCAGTACTACATACTTCAGAGTCTTTGTAATGTGTTTCTGCAATACACTTCTAACATTTATAATGTGTTTAGAAACAATTCTCAGAATTCTCTTTACACTGACTTTAAATCACTACATTTAATACTAGACATCACATCACTGTTATTCAATATATAAAGCATTTTTTGTTGAATTTCTATAAAAAATAACTACATTATGATGTCCGCTGTCACCAAAATGTACAATTACTTATACCATATATAAGATTTTCTGTCATACACCAGTGGCTTGAGTTATCATTAATGTAATCTTAGTCCAATCATTTCAAGCCAAGCATATAAACAGGATTAAATCAGAATATAATTGAAATCTGAAACCCTTATCTAAAGAAAATATTATCTTGAGCTACCCACGACTAATTCCAACTCACATGCTTGCGGCTCTGTTCGCTCTAAATGTACACAATTTACATTCCACACAACAAGCCGAACTCACCCTATGTGATTGATGAAGAGTAAAAATGCCTGCTTTTGATATAAAACCCACACATAACTTCTGACTAGCTTGAAAAAAAACCTTAAGTTGTCAAAGCTATCATAGATACTACAGGATTGTCAAAACCGATCATAAATAATGACAGAGGCAGCCAATACTGCAGGCAACTATTGTGTATCAAATTATACAGTGACAGGGAGAGAAGAATGTCGACTCATGAAGGAGGAAAGGGTTATTTCTACATAAAAATGAAGAAATCAGTAGAAAACTGACTCCACAAAAACTGGTGGAGGAGAGGAAAGCACTGCGGCTATAAGTGGAGATTTGCTTCTGGACGTGTTTTTTTCCCCCCCAGCTGTAAATGCCCCTCTTCGGGGGCCTCACTGTAGCGAGTCTGGCTCTTGAAATTGAGGGAGGGTTTCAGGAGTACAGTACTTTACAGTCTTTAGGGCCTTTCGCACCGCAGGAACCTTTTCATAGTACCAGAACTAATTGTGGAACTACCCACTTTTTGCCGTTTTCGCACCGCCGGAACTGGGTGCTTTTTTAGTACCTGACTGCCTTTTTCGAGAACCAAATTAGCTCCTACTCTGGAGACCCCGCCCTCACCCGAACGCCGTGTAAACATACTGTAAACATTGTGTCAACTTATTTCGCAAGTATGGACAACAGCGATATATGGACGGACGCTGAAGTGCATGCACTTGTATAAAATGTAGCACTGCCAGTTGTCGTTGGAGATTCTTAGTCCTCCTTCCCGTTCTTTCAATCGCTTTACGTAGCCTATACGTCGACATTTCATGTCCATTATTGTGAAACCCGCGAGACAACAAAAACACCGCTCCGATCACAGCGTCCTCCATCCTCCTGTTGTTAACGTTGTTCTTTGTTTCCGTTGTTGAACGCCGCACACAAATGACGTCACTGTGTGTCGACCGTCTTACGTACACTGTCTGTGCGAATGCAACCCTTTAAATGGTACTGGGAAATAGTTCGCGCAAAATCGTCCCAGTACTTTAGTACTGTACATTTAGTTCTGGAACTAAAGCGGTGCGAAAGGCCCTTTTGTCAGCCACAAACACAAGGCCCAGCTCAGGAATAAGAAGATATATAAGCTGTGTCATCCACAACAGAGAGCTTAAAATAACCAGATAACCAGCGTATTTATAAAAGTCCAAAGAAAAAAATACAACAACAAACAGCAACAAGTACAGCAAGCTGTACTGTTGGAATCAATTTGAATAAATGCTGAATAAATGCATTTATAAAGATAAAGATTATTAAAAAGCATGAAAAGTTGAAAGTTACCCATTTATTGGCCTAGTTTGCTACATGGCTGTCCAAAAGATAAAAAGCAAATTTAAAATACTAAAAACACAGATCTTGAGATGTATTTAGAGAAAATGTTTCTGAAACTAGTACTAGTCTTACATTTCTAACTAACAAAGAATATCCTCCAGCCACTGAAGTAATGACATGTAAATCTCAGCATAAGCACTAAGAAAACTTACTTTTAAGCCACTATGGGACTAAAAATGTGGATGTACTGTAATGGTATCTATAATGCAGTACTTTCACTTAAGCCAAAAATTGCCACATAGAATAATACAGAAGCTTACAGAACTAAGTGATAAACTAACCTCTTCAGTTAAAGCTCTTCAACACAGTACACATAAATCCAATACTGAAAGGTAAGAAGTAACCTTGTGAGAGAATGTTTTTTAAGCTCTATGTTAAAGCTGGTGTGCTGTATTATAGGACAGCATAGCCTTTAGGAGCGCTACCTATATCTGAAAGGAAACACCCATGGCCTTAAGCTGCTCTCCACATTACAATGATCAACCAAGCCTCTTTTCCAAGAAAAGCTCCTCTGGCAAATTCTTTTTTCCAACCTTATTGTAATTTTTTATATACC